TTGTCTGTTAGATACAGCAACATATTTCAGGTATGAGCAGCTGTCTCCTACCCCTACCCACATTCACCCCAGGAAACAAGAGCAAGCTTCTATTCCAAAGATTTGTTTGATCTTTGATTTAATATTTTTCAGACCATGAAATGTTGGTATCTCCATTAATATCTAAAGTAGTGGGCTGGGGTTGTGGCTCAGCAGTAGAGCACTTGCCTAGCATGTGTGAGGGCCTGGGTTTGATCTCAGCACCACATAAATATAAATAGATGAAACAAGAGTATTGTGTCCAACTACAACTAAAAAATATATATTAAAAAAAATCTCAAGTAACTAAAAATGAAACTATCTTTTAATCTTTAGCCATTACATCTGTAAAGAAAGTAATTTAGCATTATTGCTTCTGTTTTCATACTTTTTGCTGTTCTAAGTTTCGTTTTGTACCTACTTTACCTCCAAATACACAACTTTCTAAGAGTATTTGTCATTAATTCAATTCAAGACTTTTCTTTATTTCCTGGGGCAGGGGTTGTAGCTTAGCATGCACAAGGTCCTGGGTTACATCCCCAGTGCCAAAAACAAAAATCAAAAGCGAAATAAAATAAAACAACAAAAAAATTGTATCTCCTTGTAGTTCTTTTTCTATTTTCTTTGCCTTCATTTCTTACATTTTATTCTCATTTATCTTTCCCTCCCTCCAGATTCTGATTTGAATTTTGCTTTCAAAAATAAAAAATTTGGAAAAAAATAAAAAATTGGCTGAACAACTTTTACTGAATATTTGCAGTATGCAAAGCACCACACTAGTTCCATTGCATTGAAAAAGATAAAACTTAGTTGACTTTTGAAAATGGCATGCATGAATATGTGACATGTATATGACATATGTGTGCACAGTTCGCAATTCTAACACAATGATGAATCTATGTATATGCGAGACTTTGTATTGTTGGTTGACTAGAAAAAAGAAAAGGGCTGGGGCTGGGGTTGGGGTTCAGCAGTAGTGCAATTGCCTGGCATATATATGGGACTGGGTTTGGTTCTCGGCACCATATATAAATAAATAAATGTCTATCAACAACTTAAAAAAAAAAAAGGAAATCTTGAACCCTATGCTTGCCCTAAATTTATGATCAGCTTTTTTGGGATATAGATCTCAGAATAAGAGAGAAGCATGTGGTAGCTGGGACAGTTTGTACAATGAAGTATGAAAAAGACTTTGGGTCTTATGTACTTCTGGGGACACTTGGTTAAAATAAGGAGGAAGTCAAATTAAGATGCATGACATGTCTTCAGATTTCTGTGAGGGCAGTCAGCATTACTGTTGTGCATGTAATTTAACAACATTCAACCATGTTAGATTTCCCAAGTATGGAAATCAGCTCATGCGAACAGAGGCATTAGAATTTAGAATATCACTGTTTGGCTATTGTGAAGTCAAATGTGGGCATGCGTGTATCACTGTAGTATTACGACTTTAATTCTTTAGGAAAAATACTGAGGAGTAGTATAGCTGGGTCAATATTGTGGTTCTATGCCTTGTCTTTTGAGGATGCTCAATACCGAACTACATAGTAGTTGTACTAATTTTACAGTCTCGCCAACAGTGTAAGAGTGTTACTTTTTCTCTACATCCTCTCCAGCATTTATTATTCATTTTCTTTTTAAAAATTCTAATTTGTTATGTATGACAGTAGAATGCATTACAATTCATATTATACATATAGAGCACAATTTTTCATATCTCTGGTTGTACACAAAGTAGTCACACCATTCTTGTCTTCATACGTGTACTTAGGGTAATGATGTCCATCTCATTCCTCTGCCTTTCCTACCCCTATGATCTCACCCTTCCTCTCCCTCCCCTTTGCTCTATCTAGATTTTGTCTAATCCATCCATGATCTCCCCCAACCCCATTATGAATCAGCATCCTTAATATCAGAGAAAACATTTGGCATTTTTGGGATTGGCTAACTTCACTTAGCATAATATTCTCTAACTCCATCCATTTACCTGCAAATGCCATGATTTTTTTCTCTTTTAATGCTGAATAGTATTCCATTGTGTATATATAGTACATTTTCATTATCCATCATCAAACGAAGGGCATCTAGGTTGGCTC